AGCCCAGCCCACTGGACCCAGGACCTCTCAGGGACCCATGGAAGGAAAAGATACAAAGTGTCACCAAGGAAACACCCACAGGGACCAGCAGTCTCAGAAGCCCACTGGTGGGCATGGAGAAGCCCCAATGCTCAGTCGTGGCACAGTGCTCAGCTCTCCTGTGACAGCCCTTGTCCTATTATACTGAAAGGAGACTGTGCTGCTGTGTGTGTGCCCTGGTCAGCTCCAGGGCAGCCTGCAGCGTGTGCACCTGGAACACCCAGCTGGAAGGGCCCATGTCCTCCGGAGAGGCTGCCTGATACCTGCAGCTGTCCAGGAGAGCATAGCAGGTGGCCCCTCTGTCCCTCTCCTGCCCCTCCAATCCTAAAGAGGCCCCACCCCCACCCTAAGTCTATTAGCCAGCTGCCTGCACCACCACTGTGACTCAGCCTGCCGCTCCTCAGCCTCGCCACCCTTGGCTGGTAGTTGCCTTTTTTTTTTTCTCTCCCATTTTCCATTTCCAAAGTGGGACATTGTCCCTGCATTGTGGCAGATGACTCCTGAGGCTCTGGCCTCTGCCCAGAGTGGTTGCACTTGTACCAGTCACGAGAGCCAACAACCAGACACTGGGCACGGCACCCTCAGCCTCTGGCCCTGAGCAGACACTGTCACCCCAAGGGCAGACACAGTCCACACCCCAGTCCAGATGACTTGGGCATGGTGCTAGGAGGCCTCTCCAAAGTCACCCTCTCAAGGTAACAGTGTACCCTTGACATTGCAGACTGAGCGTGGAGAGGTCAAAAATCCTCCAGGGAGGGCAGAACCCAGAGTTCCCTTTCCTTCAAGTGCACCCCGATGTTAAGGATCTGGAGGTGAGCCATGCGTGACAGCACATGCCTGCGATCCCAGCTTTTCAGGAGGCTGAGGCAGGAGGGTTGTGGTTTAACAAGACTCTCCCTCAAACATTTTTTATGAAAGATGGGGAAGGATGGAGATGTAGGTCAGTGACAAGTGCGAGGCCTTTGGTTCGCTCACAAGATGAGAAACGAGAAAGGAAAGGGAGATTTGAGGCCAACACTCAGGGGGAAGCCATAAGAAGACAGGTAAATGTGGGGATGATGGTCCCCAGGGCAAAGACACCAAGGGTTGCCAGCTTTGGAAGCTGAAGAGAAGCCTGCTAAGATTCTGAAGGACCCAGTTCTGCCAGGGTCTTTTTTTTTTTTTTCTGGTTACCATAGCTGTGAGAGAATAAATTCCTGTGATTTGAGGCAGGCAGTTGGTGTGACCTGTTGCAACAGCCCTAGGAAGTTTACAGCTTCCTTCCCTTCCTTTATCCCAGTTTAGGCCTGGTGGCTCAGCCTGCAGAGCAGAGGGCAGAGCTCAGGGGACACAGAGGTAGGACACAGTTTTAAGGGTCCTCAGAGCCTGAGGCTGTACCCTCCTGGGGCCACAGCTCCTCCCCATCACCACCTCAGCCCCAGGACCTCTCACCTCAGGCCTTGTGAGTATATGTCTCCACCTGTGTCCTCAGCATGGCTGGTCTTGCTACCCTTCTGACCTGTAGTGGTCATAAATGCCTTCCACTTTGCATCGGAGCCCAGCCAGGAACAGTCCTCGAGCCCAAAGGCTGCAGAGGACTTTTGTTAGAAAAATCCTTCATGAACAAAAGTAGTGCCAAGTGGCTGATATCTGGAAACCACCGTTTCCAGGCAGGATGGAACCCTGGCTCCCCACCTCCCTTGCAGCTAGGTATAGGCAACTGACCTGCTTTGCTGCTCAGTGCCCAACACCAGGACTCAATCCCCAGAATGCTTCTCCATCAAAGAGGTGGCCAAGGGCCTTGTCCTTGACAACATATGTGGGCCTCTGGGGGCCCCTGCCTTGTGGTGGAGGTTGTGTGTTAGAGGTGTGGCTCTAGACATGTGGCCACCAAGACCCTCACTGCAAGATAAGGAATGTCCTGGGGAACCACCCTCAGTTCTGCCCCTGGACAGGCAGAAGGCAGGGAGGGTGTGTCCTGAGACAAGCTCCTGAGGGCCCTTCTCCTCCTAACCTGGCCAGGGAGAAAGACTTGTGGGAGTGTCGCTGGCCACAAGGTTTAGGGTCAGCCTGGGCTGGCCACACCCTGGGCTGGCCACACCCTGGGTCATGAAGAGCTGTGAAACTCCCCAGCTGAAGGGGCCTCCGCTTCTTCCAGCTCCCGCCCTTGCTCTTTTTGCCCCTGCTGGGCCCATGGGCCTCCCTTTGTCCACCCTCCTCTCTGCTACTCCCTTCATGGAAATGAAGTCATCTAGAAAAATAATCCAAAAATAAAAAGGGAAAAAAACCTAAGAAAACAGGATTTTCCTCCCTTCAAACATTTGGTGAGACACCTCCCACACAGATGAGTGTCCACCGGGGGGCCATTTTGGTCCAAGGGAGACTGAGTCTTGGCTCCCCGGTGCCCACCATAGGGGTCTGCCAGAGCTTCCCTTCTGCAGTCAGCACCCCCAGGAGCCCAGGTACCCAGGAGCCTGAGCTCTGACTGGTGCCCACTGCAGGTGGACCACCCAGTCCAGAGGAGGTGGGGTGGGTGCAGGGCCTGATGCACGCCAGGCCACGGACGGCCTTCGCTCCTAAGTGGGTCCCGCCTAGTGTCTCTCCCCTCTTCCCAACAGCCCACGCCCTGCGGCAGAGTTCTCGTTTGTTTATTTATAATTTATACTCAGCCTGCTTCCAAGAACACTCGGAGCTGAAAAGTGGCTTTCTGGAGCTCAGCTCTGCTCCTATCAGCCTTGGGCTCAAAGCCCATCACCCTCCTCCAGCTCTCTTGGTGCAGACCACTCAGCCTGGCTTCCAGAGCTCTTGGAGTGGACCCCTAATCCAGTCTTCCTTGCCCCCCATGGACCTTGCCTTGTGGACCAGCTTGCTCAGAAGACCCCCAAAACGTAGAATGCATCTTTTCTCCTGGGATGGACCCTTCCTGGATCCTTCTGTGGCCCCAGGATAGGAGGGACCCCCTGGCACCTCTCTTCCACCCCTCCTTTCTGCTCTGCATGGCTGAGCTGACACAGCCTGCTGCCTCCTGCGCCACCCTGTAGGACAGTGACAACACTGTTGATGACAGTGATAATGGAGATATTTGGGGCTCCCCCTGTGCTGGATTGGCATTGCCATGCAGGAGGGAAGGGCCTGCCAGGGGCTTGAGCAGAAGGGAGGCTAAGAGCACTGTACAACCTCGCCTGAACCCCATGCAGTTGGGGTCTCGAGTTGGGGCCGAGGGTGGTGTTTTCACGCATGCTTCTTCAGGACCTTACTGTCCAAGTGACCAGGAAGGGGTGGGAGCCCAGCACAGCAAGGATGCACCTGGGCATTTGGCACTCACAGAGTCACAGCCTTGGGCTCAGGGAGGGGGCCTCTCATAGGGACATCTGAACCAGCTCCCCAGGGGTTCGAAGGAACGATGCTTGTTTTTTTGTTTTTGTTTTTGTCTTTTTCATTTTTATCGGTACTGGGGATCAAACTCACGACCGCCTGCTTGCAAGGCAGGTGCTTATGCCGCTGAGCTAAATCCCCAGCCCCCAAACGATGCTTGTTTTAAGCCACCAAGCTTTTCTGTAACTTGTTACATAGTCAAAGCGATTTGATGCCCCCAGGAATGGCACACTGTCCCCTCCATCCGGGCATGGAGAGAGTGTCTCTGTGAAGCCCTTGGCCTCCTGGGGCCATTCCTGTGGCCATTGTCCACAGGGTAGGGGCATGGAGGGCTCCAGGGAAGGGGCTGCGCTGATCACATGGGGTCATGGCTCCAGGTGACCTCACATTTAGAAGACAAATCTTTTACCTAAGACAGCCTGCCTGGGAAGAGAAGCTTCCCAGACACGTGGGCTATTCCCATGGCAGCGACACTGGAGCCAGGCCGGGCCTCCACTTCCCAGCCCACCTGCTGCCTCAGGGCTTTTTCCCCAGCTGGCTCACTTTCCTAGGATGGGACAGAAGAAACAACTACAGACAGCAAGTGGCCCCAGGACCTAGCGATGGCTTCAGCCAAGGCCAGAACACTGGCTTAACCAGGAGGATGCCGGAGCTCGGGTTCCTCTGAGCCCTGCTTGCTCCTTTGGAAAATGGAGCAGACACAGCACCCTTTGACCTAGTGCTGAGCAAACTGGACAAATTCCACAGAGCACAGAGCCACACCATCCCCCTTCCATAGCCTCAGTTTCCCCTCTGTAGAACACTGCCGTTTCCAGCTTCTTCCCCAGCCAACTCAAACTCCCATTTCTGCAGAACAAGGGCAGCGTCGCTGCCAGTCACCAGCCACACCACAGCCCGGAGGTGGAGGATGTTCCCTTCCTCCACCAGCAGTGGGTCTAGAGCCCAAAGGCTTGGCACCATCAGTAGTCACTGAACCCCAGTCCTTCCTCCTTCAGCTTGAGCTGACACCACCCGGCAGATGGGCAACCCTGGAATGGCAGAGCCTTGGGGGTCACCCTTGGGAAGCCTCAGGCAAGAGCAGATGCCAGCTAGGCTATGTCAGGGATATGCTGCCACTCTCAGGCACACTGCAGAGCATGGCCTTTCCTAGTGCCACTCTCCTTGCCACCAACTTCCCGAGGGCCACAGATGTCCTGACCGTGGGGGTTGAGGCAGACCAGATGTCTGTTCCCGGCCACAATGCTCCATGCCAGAAGGACAGAGCCAGCATGGTCCCTTGCTGACACAGGCCTGGAACCCCTGATTTTGGAACTGAGAGGGAAGCAGGGATGTGTGAGGGGAGAGAAGCCAGGCATTTTTCCAGAAGGAAATGCCTTTAAGAGCATTTAAGGCCAGAGGAGCCCACACCATGCCCTGAGAGGTTGGCTCACATATGGCTGCCCTGGCCGGCCCAAACCACATGCCTGCAAAGTGCTCCTCTCCCGATGCCAGGCCCACAGGGAAGCCAGTCATCCACACATTTTGATGCTACCCTGGGCAGCCCCAAGGCCTGACTGGCTTCCTGCCTGGGAAGCAGCCCAGTGCCCTGGAAGAGCAGGCAGTGTGAGCATGCTGAAATCCTGGACTGGGCACACACCAGCACTGGACCCCATCAGGGGCCACCCTTCTAAGCCCACTTCCTTGTGTGGAAAAGGTTCATCTCATAAATATGAGGTCATTTAGAGCCATATCAAGAACTGTGATAGGGGCGGGTTTTTCTTTCCCTCTTGTGCACAGAACATGCTGTGCCAACTGCCACAGACAAAGTGGCCTCTAGGAGAACCCAGGGGACTTCCAAAGACCCCACCCAGAACCAGTCTCCCCTGCTTCTGCCTTGTGCCTTGCACACACCTGTTCTTAGTGTCCCCTCTGTATGGCTGAGACCACTCTTCCCCCTCACCCTCTCCCACTAGACCAAGGTGGTCTCTGCGGTGACACTAGGTCTCCTCCAGCCAACTCTACCCGGAGTGGTGCCAGGCACATGGGATCAAAGACCTCTTTAGGCCCAGAGACCCTGACCTCCAAGGAACCAGTTCTCCAAGACCTTGGCAAATGACCCATGCTGGCTCCCCTTCCCCTAGAATTACCAAGGGGAGCCCACCCATCCCTGCCAGCACCGCAGCAGTCTTTAATCCAGCTCCTCAGGGAATGGTGTCCCCTGGCCCTCCGGGGAAGATAAGGAGGTGTACACGGTTTACTGAGTACCTGCTGTCATCTGAACAAGACAATCTCTGCGTTCACAGAGCTTCTCCAACAAACGTGTACCAGCTATGTTGTGGTAAGACCTAAGCAGGAAAGAACAGTGCGGAGTATGAGGAGCAAGGGGTAAGCTCAAACAGCTGTTCACTTCCCCAAGGAGCTGGCGTTGGAGAGATGCCTTGAAAAGAGGATGAGGGTGGGCTGTTCTAGGCAGTGAAAAAGCAAAAGCAAAAGCCCTGTGGCAGGATGGCACTGGGAGAGCAGAAGGTAGAGAGGTAGGTAAGGACCCTGTTGAAGAGACTAGGAGTGGGACAGAGCGCAAGGGTGATCTTGGCTAGCAGATGGCTCTGCGACTGGGCCATGAAGATAGTAGAGAGGTGGGAACCGGTCAACCGTGGGATATGTAGGAGGCGCAGGTGACAGGATGGACGGGCCTTGGAGCCCAGGCAGCGGCTGGGGGCAAGGAGCTGCGGTGGCCCGGCGGCTCCTGGCTATGCACTCCGAGTCCTCGGGGTGCCATTTCACCGGCCACCCTGCCCGGGGGTACCGCCGGGGACGGGAACCCCCATCGCAACCTGGCCAGGCGGAGGGGGACGCGAGCAGGGACCCCGGGAAGTTCGGGACAGCCGGAGGCCCCACCCGCAGGGGCTCGTACCGGCGGAAGCCTGCAAAGAGAACTCTCGCGAGATGACTGAAACCCCATCCCTCCGAGGCTTCGCAAATCGGTAAGCGGCTGAATGCGTTGCCATGACAACCCGGACTGCGTGGCTGCCGCCTCTGTGGCTGTGGTGGCCTCGGCGTCCTGTGTGTGAGGCCATCCTGTGTCGCAGGCGTCCTTCTGCCCAGAGCTCCGTCCTCGGGAGTTTGAAGATGGGCAGAAAGGTGAGGCTGCGACCTAGCCAAGCAGCATCTCGACGTCCCCGTGCGGGTGTAGAGAAGCCACCACAGCTCTTTCCGGGGCGATCGGCCCCGCGGCCGCCCGTTCCCACCACTTCAGCCTGCCGGATACCCGCGTCCTTCCGGTCCCCGGCCCCTCGCCTGACCTCCCTTTCAGCCCTGGTCGGAGGTCCTGGAGTATCCCTAGAGGGGCGCTGCAGACCCCTGCCTCGCTCCGAGGCTGGTCAGGCTTGGGGCAGCGAGAAGGGAAGGACTGGAGGTTGGGCCGCCCACGGTCCGCAGGCCACTGAAGTCAGTTACAGCCCCTCCAGGTCCAGACCTCGGCCCATCCAGAGGGAGGTGGGAGGAAGCCGCAAGCCCGTTGGCGGGCCAGGGCACCACTGTCGCTCCAGCCCCAGTGCTGGACCCCGCAGACCCCGCAGAGCCGGCCCAGCGTGTCAGTATCTAGTGGAGAAAAAATGACAACGTGAACGTGATGTAATGTGAGCTTTGGGGCGGGGGTGGGGGAGAAGCTTGTTGCTTGACTTCACCCAGGAATGTGGCTGGACGGAAAGTTACTGCAACTGGAGAAAGGCACAGTTGGCTGGAGTTTGGTTTAAAAATAAATAAATAAGATTTAAATTATATAACTAACACGTGTTCAGTGTAGAAAACTTAGGAAAACACATGAAAGCATAAAAATCCTTCATCCCACAATCACATAGAACCACCGCTGACATTTGGGATGTTTTCTTCCAGTCTCTCTCTCTTTTTTTTATGAGACAGGGTCTCACCATATAGCCCAGGGTGACCTCAAACTCTCAATCCTCCCTCAGTTTCCTAAGTGCAGGAACTGCAGGTGTGTGGCACCTGTCTTCCTAACGCATTTACAGTAGATGTGTTCCCAGCCCACAGGCTCCGCTGTGCATTAGTTCCCTTTCCTTGTTGATGCTCCATCCCAGCCTGGCTGCCCCCACACACAGAGGGAAGCAGCTGTCTGAGATGCACCGATGCACCTGACTGGTGGGCCCGTTCCCCGTTCCCCGGGCGGCAGCTTCCACTGTAGGGGTTTCTGGGAGCTTGGTAGTTGCTCCATGATGGGGAAAGGGATAGCAGTGAGGCTTGAGGAAACCCGTCAGGCCAAGCACCAGAGCACTCCATCCTCCGAGTGCACAGGAGCCCATGGGTAGCAGATCAAAGAGCAGAGGCAGCAAGAGGCTCAGCTGACACTTTGCCTCTGCACTGCCGGGGACACGGGACACTCCAGGACCGGTAATCAAAGGAGGATAGGTGACCACTTGGTGTCATCCTCGCAGGGCAATGAAGCACCCTGGAAGGAGTCCCGGCCTGGGGAAGCCACCCCACCCCCACCCCACTGCCCAAGGGAGAAGCAGCATGAGTATGTCCCAGGCCCCTACTTTCCCAGCTGTCAGTGATCCACGTGCCTGGCCCCTCAGCCCTCCCCTCAGAGCACACAGTGCACTGCCACTCTTCTCCAGAGTCATGGGGATGGTCACCTTCCTCTGGGAAGCCTGGCATCTGTGGGGGTAGCCCCATGTGCCTCGGTGTTTGAGTACTCTCGAGGCCCCTATTGATTCTGTCTTTTCCCAAGGTCTCAGTTTTAAAGAATGTCTTGGTTTAAAAAAAAAAAAAGAATGTCTTGGTTTGTTGACCCTTCTGCTGAGAGGGGAAGATTACAGGGGATGATGGCAGCCCCTCTGTCCCCTCCTCTACTGGGATGCTTATCTTCCAAGTGTGCGTGGGGCCAAGCCCAAGAGTCCTGCTGCTGGTGTTCTTTCTGAAGTCCCTGGAGAGCAGTTCTGGGTGCTCCACAATAGCTGCATGTCCCTGTCTTTTAGTGCTGGCCTGCCCTGCAGGGATGCCACAGGGAAACTGCTCCGGATGCCTCTGCCCCCACCTCCAGACAGAGCCCCTGAGACTCTCGCTTCCTGGGAGTGTTCCTCTCCAAAGTCACTTCCCATTTTTCCTCCGCTGAAAATCACCCAGTGGCTCCCCATCTTGCTTGGTGGAACCCAATGTTCTTTCCAGTGAACAAAGTGTCCAATCCAGCCAAAGCCCTGGGGAACGCACTGCAGTGGGGCCAAGTCACCTTGCTGTCTGGGGGCAACCAGTGAGGCCGCAGGCTGCAGGGAATTGCACCATCTCAGGGCACTGGGAAGACCGACTGGCCCGGGCTTGAGTTGTGAGAACTTGGGATGAAGTCCAAGGAGTCAGGCTGGACTGGAGGCTGCCAGGAAGCTGGCGTGATGCTGTGACGGGTGCCTTACTCATTGAGGGGAAAGCAGGAAGAAGAGCGCACAGTGGATGCTGAGCTGAGTGGGCAGCAGCGGTCACTCCTTAGCCAGGAGTGGGTGCGGTCGGGCCTCAGGTGTACACAGTGCTCACATTCTGTGTCCAGACCAGATTCTGGCAGGTCTTGTCTGTCCCCATCCAGCTTGGTCAAGTGGCCCTCTGATGCTGGTGCCAGGCCAGCGACAAACAGGAGCCGGGCCAGTGATGTACTTCAAGAGGCTCGTGACCTGACCGCAGCTGCCCTCCACCCCTGGCCCCTTGCTCATGCTACTCTTGCCCAGTCACTTCCTGGTCACACGAGTTTCCCTTTTCCTGTAGCTGGGTGCCTGGCCCCAGGGACCGCATGGCTGACTCCTAGCTTGTGTTCCCTCTGCTCTCTCTCCCTGCTTGCCTGCATGCTCTTCCTCATGGTCTTGCCACAGAGCCGTTGCATGATGGAACCCTACATCCTCAGGCCTCCCTCACCCTACCCCACCACAGAGTCTGGGTGACCCATCTGAGTTTCACCACCCCAGGACAAGTGGCCTGCATGCAGCTCGCGCCCTGCCATCTGCCAGTGACCCTGCTCTCGGTCACCCCCTGCTGCAGGACAGACAGACCAGAGCTGGCTGTGGCTGGGACCATATGCATTTGTGAGATAGACTCTCAGCCTCACCCTCCACTGTCACACCCCAAGGGCCAGCAGCATGGTGACACCAGGGCCCTGGAAAGCAGAGAAGCTGAAGAGCTCAGGCCCTGCCCCTTGCCCTGCCCAAAATAGGTCTAGCTGCTTCTCTCATCAGGGGAACAAGGATCATGGCCATCCCTGGTCAGTCTTTCTACCCTTTGCTATTAAAATGGAAGTATCTTACTCCCTAGTTTTAAAAATTTGTAGCATAGGGGACTGATCCCAGGACCTTTGCAGTCAACTACACCCCCTGCCCTTTTTAAATTTTCAATTTTTTTATTTTGAAACAGGTTCTTCCTAAGATGCCCAAGCTGAGCTCAAATTTGTGATTCTCCTACCTCAACCTCCCTAAGTACTGGGACCACAGGTGTGTGTGCTACTCCAGCTGATTGACCTCAGCCCCTTTTATCAGTACTCTAAACTGCCACAAGTGGGGTAGCTTAAAATGATGGGCATTTATTTTCTCCAAGATCTGGAAGCTCAGAATCCCACATCAAGATGGCAGCATGGTTGGTCCTTCTGGAATCTGCCCTGTAACCTCTCTCTCAGCTGGCTGCCATCAGTCCTTGGTATCTTTATAGATGCCTCACTCCCACCTCCTTCTCCGAGTTCATCTGGTGTGCCTCATCAGATTCTAAGCATCCTCTTCCTCTGCCTCCTCATCTTTTTTTCTTTCTTTCTTTCTTTTTTTTTTTTTTTTTTTTGTACTGGGGATCAAATTCATGACCTCGTGCTTGCCAGGCAGGTGCTTATGCCGCTGAGCTAAATTCCCAGCCCTCTTCTTTTGTTGTTTGAAACAACACACTACGTGTCCCGGGGTGACTTTGAACTCACAGCAGTCTTCTTGCCTCAGCCTCCCGAGTGCTGGGATTACAAGTGTGTGCCACCACGCCTAACTCTTCCCTTCTCCAAAGACCCTCTTTCTGAATCAAGCCCCATCTAGAGGCCTGGGTGGGTGTGAACTTGAGGGGACACCATTTAACCCAGTGAGGCTGTGCCCTCACACAGTGGATGTACAGCATCCCGGGCTGATGCCATGTCTGTTCTCCCTGCCTCAGTGTTGACTGCTTGTGCTGTACCTCGATAGCCTGTGCAAGACACTGTCTGACCCCTTCATCTATGCAGATCCCTGTCCTGAGAGTCACTGGGGCAGCAGGCATAGAAAACTGTTCGGTGAGCTTCCCGGCCAGGCCCACCCTACCCCAGCACCTGGGACTTTGCCCTCCCTCTCCCTCACTGGCTCTCGGCCTCCAGGCCCCCACCCCAGGATGTCCGGGAAACTGCAGTCCCTTGCCTGTTTTGTGCAAGTGACTCTGCACTCTCCTAACCTTTTCCTTCCAGCCTGGAGCCTGGAGGTGACGGAAGGGTGGCTCCCAGGCACTGTCAGGCTCTCTAGTATGGAAAAGCACTCAGTTCTTGTTCAGAGAGCTTTTCTGCCCCCCCCCCTTCTGTATCTGTGCTAACATTCTGTGATTCTTAGAGAACCAGAAGCCTAGAGCCAAGAATGTTCAAGCCAGAAGGGATTTCTAAGAGGAACAAAACAGACAGGGCCTCTGCCCACAGAGTTCCCAGGCTGGGGTGGGGTGGGGGGCCCAACGCCTGCCTGAGGCCACTGAGCACGGCTCACACTGGAAGGGGAGCCAGAGTGAAGGAACAGAAAGGTGAGAGGGTTCACAGCAGCAGGCAGCATCCAGCATTGGGTTGGCGCCACTGGGATTGAATGGAGCAATTGGTTTCCTGGGTAGACACCCAAAGACAGGCAATCAAAGAAAATGTAGATAGGGACACCCTGAAAACACAGAGCTTCTGTGTATCTAAGGACACTATGGAAAAGCGGAAAGGCAGCCTGCAGCAGGGGAGAAACCATCGGCAAATCACACACCTGACTGGGGTAGCACAGGAATATGTACCATACTTCCGTGGGCTGCTGGCAACCAGAAAAAAAAACACGCAATTCAAAAAAAATGGGCAAAGGATCTGAATAAATAGTTCTCACAAAGAGATTCAGAAATGGCCAGCAAACACGTGAAAGGGTGTTCAGTGTCACTAACCCGAGGGGAGCCCAAACCAGAGCTGCAAGAAAAGCCCACCTTGACTCATGAGAATGCCTCCCTCCAAAGCCCCAGAATGACAGCCACCTGGGAGGTGTGGACAGATCAGGACCTTGTGCGCTGCTGGTGGGAACAGGACATGGGGGCAGCTGCTGTGGAAAACCATCTGGCAGTCCCCCAAAAAGCTAACTATAGAATTATCACATGATCCAGTCGTTCTAAGTGTGTACCCCCAAAGAATCAGAAGTAGAGGTTCAAACGATCCACGTACACCACGCTGTGACCAACATTACTCACAGTGGCCAAAAGGTGGAAGCAGCCCAGGTGTCCATGGCGCGTGAACGGACCAGCGGAAATGAGAGCCACATACCAACAAGGGAAGTGTCCTTAGCCACAGAAGGGAGGGAGACACAAGGTGTTTCCCAGTGCAGATGCACCAAGAATGCACCGTGGAGAGAGAGGAAGCCAGCCTCAGGAGGACCCTCAATGTGTGGTTCCCATCCTGTGGGGTCCCTAGAGCAGGCAGATGCAGAGATGAGAGCAGATTCAAGGTTTCCAGGGACTGGGGTTGGTCACGGGTCAGAGAGCTTCCTCTTAGTGGGTATGGAATCTGCAGGAACAAGAAAGCTTTGAAAATAGCTAGTGGCGGTCACAGAGCATCGTAAATGTAATTAGTACCACTGAAGCGCACTTCAAAATGGTAAATTTTATGTGATATGTATTTATCACAATCTTTTTAAAAAGTCCTTCACCAAAGTCATCGAACTGTACAGTTTACATAGAACTTCGTGGTTTGTGAGTGATGTCTCATTAAGTGTTAAAGAGAGACAGAGAGGAGCAGTCCCTTCCAAAACCTCTGAGAAGAGGGCGATGCTGGGGCCTTGTAAAGGTGCCACGGGGAGGAGGACAGGAGGGCGGAACCAGGCACCTCTCCTGCCCACACCGCCTCCGGCTCACTGTGTGCTGAGCACAGCCTCCCTCGGAAGCCAATTTTCCGCACAGTGAAAATGTTTTCCTTGTGCCCGCTTGAGCAGATGGCCCCCCACCTTGGCCTGAGTTGAGAAGCACAGAAATCCAGCCAGGCACAGACGGCCTCCTTGGCAGCGTTGCCTGTGCGCGCACACCCCCTCCTCCGCCAGCGAGTTTCCTCATTCCCGCATGCTGGAGCTGGGCCTCTGGAGACCTGGCCCAGCCCGCCTGGGCTCCTCGACCTCTCTGGCCCCTGGCGGGTGCTCAGACACAGCACCTGGGTGAACAGGGAGCAAGCAAGCTGCTGGGGCCTTTGGTCCCGGCCCTGCCCCCTTCCTGAGAGAAGGCTCAGCATGGGTTGGGAGGAAGGTGGAGAAGAGGCGTGACCTGTCTAGGGGAGGACTGAAGAGACCCCAAGGGGAAGATCTCCACCGTGGGAAAGTCTCACTGCGGGGGGGGGGGGGGGGAGGGAGGGGGCACTGGTGAGTGGCAGAAGTCAGAGTTCCGGAAGCAGGGAGGTGTAGGCTTGCAGCAGGAGGGACACGCCTGGTCCTTGCAGGATAGACAGGCTGATCCTCAGGCTCCAGAAGAGCCTGCAGGGGCCACACTGATCACTCAGACTGTCCCTGTCACTCTAAACTGGGGAGGTTGGGAAGGCCACCACCCACCTTCCCAAGGGATCCTGTAAACCACAGGAAGTGTGTATGTCCTTCCTGGAGGAGCTAGGAGACAAATGATTTCCAGGGTTCAAGAGTGTCACTCTTAGTAGCATTCCCTTGGGCGTCAATGTGAAGAGAGATGCATTGCCAGCATGCTCAATGGGAGCCTGTGGCGACTCCTGTCCAAGCTACTGGACCCGCCCTGACTGACTGGGTGATGTTTTAAGCAGCTGAGGCCATGGTGACTGCTGAGTGTGACCATTCACCCCTCCAAGCCTTGCTCCTTGGGGATCAGCATGGAGTGGGACACTGGGGACAAGCCTATCTGGTCGCCTTGCAGAAGGGGACATAGGACCCAGTAGGTCAGGACCCCATGGTGTAGCCTGCTCCTGCCCAGGGGCCACGCTTTCCTGCTTCCTGGAGCACGAAGGCCTAGCATGGGATGGAGTGGGGTGGAGCTGCTACCTAGAGCAGGAGGCAAAGAAAAATGTGATGTGGGCTGGCGAGGGCTTGGGCTCCAGCCACACTCGGCCCCCAGGGCTTAGTCTCCCCTGCTCTGTTGTTCATTGGAAGAGATGGGGACAAACCCCAGAGCCAGTAGGCAGGTGGTGAAGGAGAGGCCAGAGACAGAGTTCCTGATGTCCTGTGTGTCAGTAAAAAAGGAATAGGCCCTTTCAAGATGGTCAGGGGCTGAGGGTGGGTTGAGCTGACCCTAACCCAATTCAGATTATATATATTTTTTTATTTATTTATTTTTGGCGGTACCAGGGGTTGAACTCACAACCTCAAGCTTGCCAGGCAGGCGCTTATGCCACTGAGCTAAATCCCCAGCCCCAACCCTAACTCAATTCCCTGGGGACACTGGAGTCCAGGTTTATCCCATGGCCCAGCCTCAAGGAGACACCCTGAAGTGGACTGTCTTCTGCTACAAAAACAAAACCTCAGAAGGCTGACTTAATAAGAAAAGGAGCTTTGTTTAGCTGATAGTTTAAGAGATCAAAAGTTCCACATAGGGCAAGCCTGTGAGTTCTGGCCTTGGTGGGTATGTGGTGGCAGATGGCTGGAGTTCACAGGAGAGGAAACTGTGTGGCCTGAAAAGAACCAGACAGAGAGCAGGAACCCCACAGTCACCTCCCTCCAGGGCCATGCTGCAGTCCAGCTTCTAGCCCATGTACTCACAGGGGCACGCTCAACCCACACCACAGCCAGAGCAGCTTCCAACCTGACCACGTCTCCTGCTCTTCTGGGGGCTTTGGCACCGCGGGAGGGGCCTGTCACAGCGAGGGACAGTGTGCAGTCCAGCTCTCTGCAGGATACGAGAAGGAGCCTTAACAACATAATGTGGAGGAGGGGTCTCATTCTGGCAGGAAGGGGAGTAGAGAGCCGACCCCATGTGTGTCTGCCCATACTGGACCTGGATGCATCCCCACCCCTCAGACCCTCTCGAGCCTGCAAGGTGAGCACTACCAGCCGTTACCCATGGGGACTGCACCAGTGAGCCGGGAATGGCGAGACCACTGGGCTGAGATCAGAAATTCAGATTCAGCAGAGTCAAGCTGTGCAACTCTGAACAAGCCCATCAGTGTCTCTGGGCCTCAATCATCTGAAAGTCAGGAGCTGAGCTCAAAAAGGGAAGGCCCCCTCCACATGAGGAGCGTTGGAGGCGCCCCAAGGTCGGACAGGTCATCCTGGCACAGTGGGGTGTGGTGAGGCTGGCCATGTGGCCACAGGGTTATGAAACCCCGGGAAGACACAGTGCTGTCTTCAAGAGGGGAACAGATGGGTGGAAGCTGTGGCTGAAGGTAAGGAATCAAGTGCAGAATAGGAGAAGAGTAAAAGAAACACAAGAGAAAACTTCACAACAGAGCTGTCTGAAGATGGGACAGTCTGTCTCCACGGGGTAGTGAGTCCCCCATCATTGGAAGTATGCAAGCCAAGAGGAGCTTCATGTTTCAACAAGCTTCTAGACACTTTTGGTTTTGAAGCCCAGAGTCCAGTCCATCTGTGCCGACTCCTGCCTAGGTCAGAGCAGCTGCCCTACTCAGCCCATCTTTAGCTCCATGAGCTACTGGGATCAGTCACTGATGTGCTGAGATCAGCTGTGAGACGTGCAGAAAGCCATTCACTTCTATGAGTTAAACTACCCACATTTTGCATGAGCTTTTATAAAGAAATTAGAAATGTAAGCATAGGGGCTGGGGATTTAGCTCAGCGGCATAAGCACCTGCCTTGCAAGCAGGCAGTTGTGAGTTCGATCCCTGGTACCGATAAAAAAGAAAAAGACCAAAAAAAATTTTAAAAAAAGAAATGTAAGCATAAACTGTCACACACTAACTATGCACTTTCTTGAGCGAAGGCAGAAGTAGAGGTAGCCCAGAACCCTGTTCTGCACACTGCAGGAGAACCCCACCTCACCCCAAGAGCTTAACCCAGCAGGCTGTTCCCCACCCCAGGCTCTACAGGGAAGGACAGCTCAACCCCCACCAAACACCGGCTCCTCAGTCCTATCCAGGGAACACCAGGGCATCGGGCAGGAAATCCCTGGGCAATGCCAACAGGAAGCCGGAGGGACTGGTTCCTTCCACTAGCCATGTGTGTGCCTGTGTGTCTCAACCTGTCAAGCTATCCTGGCTGTGTTCCCCGACCTCACACTGTGAGTGTCCTGAGATCTCTAAAACCAGGGAACTCTTCCCTTGGAAGAGAGCAGCTTGTATGCTTCACGCACAGAGAGAGCAGAACTTGCTTAGGGAAGCATGATCTTCCCCAGCTCAGGACCCCAGTCAGTCACTCATGCCCTTTGCTACCTGGGCACGGAGATAGGGGTGCAAGGGATTCCTTGGCAGGATGTAGCTTGGGAACCCCAAGCCCAGGCTCTGGGGCCTAGCACTCATCCATCCTGGAGGGCATGAGGTGGGGGGACCAGGAGTTACTGTGCACCCTGGTGAAGAATTCGAGAAATCGCTTCTCCCGTAGGTGTCTCAGCTGCCCATGGGAGATGAGGAGCCCACTCTAGTCCCAGGGCTCTGTGGGGCCGCCAAGGGGCACAGTGCAGCAAAGCACACAGCATGTGTCCCCCAGCAGGCAAGGTCGAGAAAGTGAGGGGGTACAGCCGGGCCAGCTGAAGACATCATCCAGTTTCGGAAAACAAAGAACAGTTCAAGGAGCCCAAGTCTTTCTTCACTCTTTACTGTGTAAAAATAAACTCAACAATTCATGTCATTTCAGCAAGAAAATGAAAAAAGAAAGAAAGCAAGAATACCAGTAGAAATAGTGCATTTCCAGAATTGCAGATGGGAGGTGGCAGGTCCTATGGTTTTGACCCATTTGATCCCCAAAAGGCTGCAGATTGTATGAAAAATGTACAGCTTTGGTTAGCAAATAATGAAAAAGTAAGATACATCGATTCTCTTTCATATTTTACAGTATATACATTATAACAATATCAACTTTAGGGGGCTTGCTTTTTTTTGGCAAATAAGACAGAATTGGGACTCTAAGTATTGGGCTTCATTTCTCCTCAATGACGTTCCCTTTAAACAAACCGTTCTTCAGTCCATGTGCAAGGAGCCATGCTCTCCCCATCGCTGGCAGGATACACTTACGCACTGTGTTTAAAGAGATGAAACAATGACTCCATCAAGCCACATGCTGGTGGCTGTAAGATCACGAAGGCCTCGGTCCTCTTAGCCTTGATGCTTCTATACAGGTTGGAATGGACGCTCAAATCCTCAACCCATTCCACTTCACCGGTCGGCTCCCAGACAGAGGGCCCACCCCGAGTGGCCTCTTTGGCCTCCTGTCCCCAACACAGCTTCACCACAGGCGGCCCCTCACTGGACCGACTGCAAACCTCCTGTGAGCCTCTCCCCTCCCCCTCGCTACCCACAAGACACCCCCTCGGCCTCAGTCCCAGGGCTGGTGACAGAGTGATCTTTGCGGTCTTAGAAAATAAATTGGGAATCTACAAAAGGAAAAGAAAGCATACAAAATGTATCTTTTTCTTCCAAAATACAAGCTTTCAGTCCTATGGTTTGGTGGAGCCTGAAAGTGTTTTCAAGGGAGATATAGGTTGAGATAATTTATAGGTTTGTCTTATTCTTTCATAAAAATACTCTTGTTTGGTAATAAACTTTTTCTTCTACAGTAAGAGAAATAATACTGTTATCAAAAGCAAGAAGGCTTTACGATTCAAGTGGGCTCTAGGCCCCCCAAGGCCTGGGGAGCCTCCGTGGCAGCTATCCCACCCGGACCCCCAGGGAGCTGTCGGACACCAGCTCGGCAGAAGCAAACACTGTCTCAACAGTGCTTTTTTTTTTTATCTTCTTATTTTATAAAATGGCTTACCTGAGAGAGGCATGTATTATTCAGTGCAAGAGGGAACATCAATCAGATTAAGGAGTCAATGGGAACGGTGTGGATAGATTTGCTGCTGTCATCTACCTTTCTCGGGGCCAGCACAGTGCCAAGTATGAACACAGTGAGGGAGTCGGGGGCTTGGCACAGACTCCGGTTGGGGTGGGGCGGGAGCTAAATGTCAGCTTCTGTCCCGGGCACCACGGGTGCATCAGGGGGCAGCAAAAGGAAAGGGAGGGGCCCAGGAAGCTGGAGGGTCAGGGTCATAGGCATAAGCATCCGGTATGTGCTCCGTCCTCTAGCTAGGGCGGAGGATGGCTTGTGGTCCTGAACGGACAGCTCCCACCTTGCCACTTGGCAGTGGTGGTCTGGGGTCCGTATCGGCAGGGGCAGGGGCTGGTGGCAGGTGCCAGCAGGAGTGCACTGGGCACAGACGCTCTGGGCCGAGCCAAGGATGGCTCCCAGGTGGCTGGAGTGAGGGTGGGGCTCGACCCAGTCTGGAAAGGTGATTCCAAGCTCTCTCTCCCAACCGTGGTATCATTGGGGCTTGTTCTCAACCTACATGTTCGAGATGCTTCTTGGTGTGTTTGGGGAGTGGGGAGGAGGAGAAGGACACTGGCCTCTCTCTCAACCCCCTCCAACACCCCTGGCTTGCTTACCCAGACATTTTCAGTAGTTACATGGGTGGTCACAGAACACTGGGTGGCACTCAGCACACAACACAGAACTGGGAAAGTCCATGCAGGCAGGGGAACACACATCGGACCGAGGGAGCAAAGAACACGCCACCCCGAGGAACATGCAAACAGAGAAGATCCCTGCAGAGCCAAGGATGCCACAACCCGACGGCACTGAGGAAGCACAATTATCTAAGAAAAAGCCACTGTTGAACAATGACACGCAGCATGGTGCCACATCCGCACCCTCTCTGAAGAGTGATGCATTGCAGAGTGGCGACCTGTACCGTGCAGACACCCACAAGTACAGTGACACAGAGACACCAACACAGACACACACGGATGCACTAGGTTTCCGACACGCGGTGGACCAGCGCCGGAGGAGGCAGGTGCCCCGGAGGGAGTGCCGGGCACGCACCCACCTCTGAGGAGGTGTCTGCAGCTGCAGACGAGCCAGGCAGCACAGAGGACTTCTGGAAAGGCTCACCAGCCTTTCCTGAGTTAGACTCCTGGACAGGGGTCCTGAGGGTCCTCAGTGTGCCTGGCAGATCCAGGACAAAGCAGGGGCTCGCCTTATCCTGGGCACAACCTCTGGAGTGTTCACTCTCTCACACACACACACAGGCACGCACGCTCACACACACACACATACATGCACAGCTTTTTCTCCCCTCTTCAGAAATACTAGAAGGAAATATTCATGCTGTTTTTCATGGGGGAAAAAGAAGCCAAAGATTCTGGACACAAGTCCGTGTTGTGGGCCAGCAGCAGGTTATGGGCGGCTTCCAGGCAGAAGGCCCATGAGCCAGAGGAGGGGCTTCAGCCTTGCCCTGGCCACGCGTGGCTCTGCAGGAGGGGTCTTCCAGCTCCAGCCACCTAGGGTCTGGGGATGCGTGGAGGAATATGGCTGTCAGCAGTGCCATGGGGACCTCCTTCCCATGGAATGGCTGGGTGAAGCTCTCCAGGGCCTTTGGGGCTGGGTTTCAATCAGCAGGTGGGTCTCTCATCCAGTGGCCTCTATTGGAAGCCTCTGGTTTCCCACTGCCAGAGGCAGCACCAGTGGCTAAAAGTGTATGACAGGTCCCAGCCCTGAAGGGTGCAAAGAGGTGAGAAGGCAAGGGACAGAGCCACTGAGAACACCTGCAGGCCTTCCTTGGTCCCAACTGCCTCTGCTGTAGCAGACACATGGCAGCTAGCAGGGGTTGTATCCCAGGACAGTTAGCCTCGGCCTTCAGAGCATGCACCCCTAGTTCCAAATGAAAACCCTCTGTGGAAAGGCCCACCCAGTCCTAGCAAACCACTGAAAGACATTGCGATGTCAGGAGGGAGCTTTCCGCAAGGTGTCTGCAAAGGAAGACAATGGCTGTGCTGGAGAAGCTGCACACAGGCAGATGCTGGAGTGGGCAAACAGACTTCTGACCCATTCTGAGACTTCCCACAGCCACAAAGGAGGAGGAAATGAAACACCTCACTCTAAAAGCTTCCCCCAGCCACACCTCCAGGTACACACACTCATGTGCACAAGCGTCTTCTCTCTGTCTCTCTCCTATTCCAGTACCCACTCAGCTGCAGTCTCAGGGCAGGCCTGGGGAACAGCAGGACTTCTAGGGAGAAGTGGGGTGTCCTCGGGGACAGAGGAGAACCAGGACTGCTTCCTGTGCACAAGGAGGTCAAAACACACAAGGAGGCTGTGTGCGTGTGCGTGCATGTGTGTGTGTGTGCAGGGGCCGAGGCCTTGATTCATTCCTGGGGGAAGGGAAAGAAGAGACGATGGATCATCACCGCACAAGCAGGGTGGGCGGGTGCGGGACCTGGGGCTCAGCCCTGGCCGGAAGCTGTCAGTTGATCTGGCGACAGGCCTCGAAAGTCCACTTGGTGGCTCCGCCGTAGATCTCAATTTGGGACTCTGCCCAGGCAATGACATTGCCAGAGAGGGCCTTGGCGCTGCAGGTGGCTAGGTTGGACACTTCCCCTGGGGTCAGCTTGCGGTCCCAGATGTTGAAGTGGGCCAGCTCGCCCACAAACGCCTGGGTGGCATCAAATCCACCACCCAGAGTGTCCTTTGGAGAAGAGCAAGGGATGAGGGTAAAGGGGCTTGCTGGGTGGTCTTTGAGCCTGGCAGAGGGAGTGTGTCTCCCCACAGGAGGTCCCCAATCTACTCTGGTACCAGCTTGTTTCCTGTCCCTGTGTCTTCAGCCAGACATCTGTCCCTCCCTGAGAGGAGCCCAGAAAAAGCACCAGTGCCAGCCTCCTGTGCTTTAGATTCAGAACTTCCCCTGGGGCCTCTGAACTCTGCTCCTCCTGCAGCCAGTCCCTTGGCCAGCAAGGGGTCAGCAGGGCTGTGGACAACCATGACAGCAGGCCTGGGGCCCCAATCAGATACCCCTCTGCCAGGTGCAGTCAACTACATCCCAACAGGAATAAAAGGCCTGGCTTCTCTGGGCCTTCATCTCCCTCCCAAGTACCTGATGGATGAACCATTTCATCAGAACTAAATTATTCATCACTAAAAGCAAAATTGGCCCTTCCACAGTGAACAGAGTGGGGCAGTCACTGAGAGCACTGGTCCCCAAGTTCACTTCTGCCTGAATTCCTGAAGCAGCTCACCCAGAGCAAGGGTTTTGCCCTTGCTGCCCTCAGCTGCTTCTCAGTCCATCTTCACCCCACGCCCAGCTCCCACCAGCTCCCCTTCTCCTGCCCAGGCCTCTGCTCTGGTACCAGATGCCTCCCGCACCCAGAGCTAGTACCTGTTCCTGGCCCAGCACCAGCACACCCTGCGGCTTGATGGGGTGGTAGGGAGCCAGGTTCTCGCCGTTGCCACCTTGGGTGCCATCCTGGTAGGCTTCCCAGACCCCATCCCTGGTGGTCCAGGTGACGCAGATGTGGTGCCACTTCCCATCATTAATCACAAAGGGCAGCTTGGCCACCTGGGACGAGAACAAATGACTCCGTCATGGGTTTGGGAGCGCCACCCCGCTTCAACGGTGCTTCCTCTCCCGCCACTTTAACAATGAACACTGGGAACCATCCTGAATTCCCAAGGCAGCTTCCTTGCAGTGGTTACCGTCCATCAGCCCTGCCTGCGGTGGGTCATGGAATCCTACAGGAAATCCATTGCCTGGCCAAGAGTGCCTCTGATAGCCATCTGGGCACACGACTGTCTCACTCCTATTCATCCTCTTTGCCCTCAGCTGGCCTGCAAGACAAGCCCTGGGATGACAGTGTTTGTGGGGACTGTGCTCACCACTGCCTGCAGGGCTTCTCCTCCCTTCCAACTCTCCACACCTCCAATTGGGCCCCACAGTCTCTGATCTCTGCAGAGAATCAGCATGGGAGGACGGTGCCAGCCTCTAAACTCTCACACCGGCCTTGGGCCTGGAACTGTACTGCCCTTTCCACCCCAAGCAGGCGGAACAGTGCAGCGGAACACAGACCCTCACACACTTTCTACTTGAGAAAACGGGGCCCCAAAGCACATCCTTCCAGGGGCACAGCTTCAAGAACAAGGGCTTGGAATCCAACTTCCAGCCTGGTTTTTAGCCATGTACTGCCACAAGGCAGGAAGATAAAGGGGTTTGAAAGCTGGCAGCAAATTCCAAGGCAGGAATGGAGAAGAGCTCACGAGAGGGAAAGGGGTGCTCTCCGCCCCTCTCCCAAGGTGTCAGGTGGCCCTGGCCCTATGAGTTGGGGGCTTCATGGGAGTAGATCCAGACTGGGGAAGTATCTCTTGGGGCATTTTTGCCTTCTTACTCAGAGCATCTGTGATCCTCCAAACAAGGAGCAGGGGTAATCTGAGGCCATCGAGGAGGAGCCCAGGTCACATCAGCAGGAGGGACCAGAGATGGCGAGTCTTTCAGAGACCAAAGACCCAAAGTGCAACTCAAAACTCATTGATTGCAAAGTGATGACAGGGCAATTAAACCTGAACACTGGTTTAATTTAGATGATTCACATGACTTGTGATGTCAACACAGAGAGGGCTCTGCTCGCTTGCTGTGGCCCCTGTGTGATAGGGCTCATCATCACGGGGGCCACATGGTCCCTGTGATCCTCAGTCACTCCTGCATCCCAGAGCCTGTGGGGAAGGTCCCAGCTCTCCGTACTCTCCAAAGGGGGCAGGTGAGGGCGCACTCCCCACTCTGGTCTTCCACAGACAGACACCTCCCTTAGCTCTCTCCAGGAGGCCACCATGGCCCTACCTGCCTGCCAGACCCTGGGGCGGGGTCTTACCTTGTCATTAATGAGGATTTCCATTGGGTTGTTGCCCCACTCGATGAGGACCAGCTCGTTGGCCTGGCCGGGCACAGCGTAGGAGAAGGGCGTGCCCACGCCCGGTGCTGCGCTGGACTTGAGCCACATGCACACGGTGAAGGCGTACATTTCCGGCAGGCTCTTCCGCACCTTGGCATACATGTAGTTGGTTCGCAGTGGGAATGTGAGCTGGAACTTGTCTCCTGGGCGGTTGTCTTTCTGACCTGGAGAGGACAGACCCCAGATCCCGACACCTGCACTTTGCTATCTGAGTCATGTTTGGTCCCCACCAAACCCTGTGATAGAAACAGGGCCTTTGGCCAGCTGGCAAAAGCACTGAGCCACAGTCTCCAGCAGGATTTCACCCCTGCACAGTGCCATTCCTGAGAAGGCAGAGCAAGACATGATACAGGCTGGGGCTGTGGGCACCTGACTTTGGGCATGGCCAGGGGAGGGGAGTCAGCACACATGGTCAACTACTGAAAAGGTGTGGCTCCAGGGGAAGGATGAACCAGGCCAGCTCCCCTCAGAGTGGTCCCTTTGGGAGCCGACCTGATTCTGAGGCTGTGATGGTGCTCACGATCCCTCACTGCTCCTCTTGGGCTCTCCTGATCTTCAGCAGGACAACCAGGCTGCTGGTGCCTGCCACGCAGGCCGGCATGCACAATTCCCTCCCCCAGGCTTTTCCAAGAATTCTGCTGAGAGGGTAGGACAGTAGGGGCCACCTTGGTTGAAGGCACAAGGTGTCAGACAGCTTCCTGAAAAGGGAGGCTCCTGGCCTGGTGGTCTCCCTGTTATATATGGCCACCAGCTTCTGGTCTGCCAGCCAGTGTCTCCAGAGAATGTTCAAACCCCCACCCACCCCACGCATGCCTGGTGTGACTGGCTCCTGCAGAAACACCACATAGAGTAGTGGGCACCTGCCCTGAGCCCAGGAGCACACAACGGGCCAGCTCCTGTGTACACACCTGTTCCCCTACCCTATGTCCATGAGGAAGCCACCCCCTAGGCCAAAAGTGACTTCCTGACCAGCCAGCAACCTCTTCCTCCTCAAAGCCAGGTGTCAACAGGGCTGGCCTTCGGTGCAGTGCTCCCCCACATTCTTGCTCTGGAGTAAGGGCTGAGGGGACCCAGCCCCTGGTATCTCTCTAGAGTGTTTCGTTTTCTGCATCTCCCCTTCCTCCCTCCCCCTCCTTGCTGAGGTCCCTCTTTCCCCTGTTCTGTTTTTCAGTTACATAACGCGCCTTAAGATGGCACTGTTTAAATCCATCCGGCACATTTTGCAGTCCGAGCTGGGTCACATGGCCCTGCTCCTCGACACCCCCTCCCCCCTTTTACAACCTTGTTTGATTTTTGGTACTTCAAGGCAGAGCTCATCAGTGCACCCGCCTCTGTGCTCAGGGCCAGTCTGAGTTGGCAGGAGCAGGGGCACTGTGGGGATGTGTAAGATACTCAAGCTTGGGGTCACTCAGAAAAGAAAACCAGGGAGGGGTATGGGATGGAGAGATTTGGGGTGAGGTGGGGGAGAACCTGGCGATCCCAAGAGGATACCAGGACCTTGGAGAATCTGGAAGCAAACGTGCCCAAGGGCTGAAGTGGGCTGATGTCCAGTTCTCTGCTGGTGAGAGGCTAGCTAGGCTCTGCTAATGGGGAGGGTTTGGGCCAACAACCGCTACTGTGCAAAGTTACTGATGATTAAACAAATCAGACTTGAAAAATCTTGTGAGGGTGTGTGTGTCTGGATGCGGGTGCACCATGCAATACTGCTCCTGCCCTGTTTCTTTTTCCTGGAGAGGTCTCTAGCCAGTGGACACCCAGCTCTGTGAGGAACAGCACCTGGGAAGGGGTCTGAGGGTACAGAGACTCCGAGGTGCGCTGGCCAGAACTGGACTGCACAGCAAGTCTGGCCCAGGTGGTGTTCCAGAGGAAACCTCAGTGGACAGCATGCCCTACCCCCAGCCCTTACCTTTCTCCAGCTCGCTGATACGCTGGTGCAAGGAGGTCAGCGCACTCTCGATCTTGATCCTCTCCTCCGTATCGTTCTTGGGGCCCCCCTTGCCCTCCTCCAGCGTATTCACCCGAGACAGCACCTGCCGCTCCAGGTCATCGATCTTGCTCTGCAGCAGATCTTTGAGGCTGTTGGTCTGGCTGGATGAATTGAGGCGGCTATACTGCTGCGGGGCACAAGGGCAAGGGAAAGCCACACCGTTACTGTAGTCGTAGGAAGGGATGGAGCCAGGAGGCGCGCGGCGCGGTCCCCCGGGGCGACAGCTGGAGGGGGGGGGGCGCTGGCGGGGAGCTCAGGGCAAGTGGCCGCCTGCGGGGCCCCACAGGCTTGGGCGGCAGCAGCGTGCGGATAAGGCAGGGGTTGGGGGATGCCAGGACCGCTTGGGTTCAGGGCAGGAAAGGGCGCAAGGGTGCATCACCCCAAGGGGAAACCGCGGCTCACGCAGACCTCGAGGTTCTCCAGGCGGGTTTTGAGCGACTGCAAAGTTTGCCCGAGTTGGCTGAGTGTCTCTGCGGCCGGCGTCCGGGACAGGTCGCCCATGGTGTTCTTGCCGGAGCCGAGCTGCTTGCGGCCGCCGCCCGCCCTGGCTTCGCCGGGACCCGCGTCCAGCACGCCTTGACTCTCGCAGCGGCCCAGCTTGGTGGTCAGCTCGCGGATGGTCTCCTTCTGGCTCAGGATGGTCTCCTTCTGCTGCAGCACGGTCTCGCGGAGCTGCAGCACATTGCTCCGGAGCTCCTCCGCGCCGCCCGCGGCCACAGAAGCTGCGCACATGTCGGCGTCCACGGGCACTGAGGTGCAGATGAAGCGCGTCGGCCCGAAATCCTGGGCCCCGGTGCCCAGGAGGCAGAGGGCAAGGAGCGCACAGGTGCGCGCGGCGCGGCTGGCCGGCATGGCTGCGGGCACCTGGCGCGCCGGCCCGGCTCGGCGCGGCTCGGCTCGGGTGGGGCTCGGCTCGGGCTGGGACTGGGCTCGGCTGTGGCTCCGCGGGCGGCCCGCGCTTGGGCGCCGCGCTCCTCGGCCGCGCGGTGCACGCCGGCGCGCTGCCTGGCCCCCACTGCCGCCTGCGCTGCGGAGCCCGCGCCTTTTATGCTGCCGCGGGAGGGGGGGCTCGGCGCCGACGTCAGCGGGGGAGGAATCCCGCTTTAATTGTCTGCGGCCCGGACCGTGCGCGGCGGGGGTCGCGCCGGAGCTCTGCCCGGGCTGCCTAGGCCCGACCCTCCCCGCAGCCTTCGTCCGCCCGCCCCCGCCCAAGCAGCGCCGCTCCCCCGAAGGCTCCGAGCCCGGGGCCTGGGCTCAGGGAGGGGCCATCTGCGCCGCGACCCCAACGCTCTCACCGTTCTGGGTTCGGGGTTCGGGAATCGGGTGGGGGGAAGAGGTCCGACGAGGCCAAGAGGCAGGACGCGGTTCAGCCCGCCAGGCTCCGCCAAGCACCCGCAGGATCCAGAGCCGGGACGAGCCCACGACCTCAGATAGTCTATGCGATTGTCCATGCCCGCCAGGCAGCGCCGCGGAGCGGGCGTCGCGGGGCTGCTCCACGCCTCTTAGATGTCCGTGTGGGTTTAGAAGCAATGGAATACTGGGGTGTGGGGACTTCCCAGGACCCAGCTCCCGGCTCTGCCGAGCTCTCCCCCCGAGGCTCCCACCCCGCGTGATCAGGGAGCCGGGGATTTCTCAGAAGCCGCCCTCGCCAATGGAGCGGTCCCTGCCACCCGAGTGGGCCCGGTTCCGGACGGAACGCGCCTCGGGGGCTGCAGGCGCTTCCCAGACGGCTGTCTGTGCCGTGTGCTGCATTTTCTGTTCCCGGTGCGCCCCAGCTTGTCTCACCTTCCGGACAGCGCGAGGTGGGGGTGGGGAAGGTCCGGGAGGTGGGCAGGGGCGTCGCACCTGTCGAGGTCCGCGCGCTGGCACTGTACTCGCAGAGCTCACCCAGCCGCCCACACGCAAGCCTACTTTCTGGTTAAGCGGCTCTGCCGGGCTTGGCTCCCTGGATTCCCCACCGGATTCTGATGCTGGGCTCGGTCCCGGGGCCGCTGTCCCGGCCCGCGGAGATCAGAGCCCAAAGCGCCTCAGAAATTTATTCGCCCAAGTTCGCAGCGTACAGAGGAACGGAGGCTGGAGATTCCAAACTGGTGTGGGGTGACAGCGCGAGTACGGGCCACACCACGCTCCTGTTGGCCCGGCTGACCGCCCCTCCCCCACTTCTTTATTCCCGTTCGTTTCCTGGACTCCGGCCAGACCGGGTCCCTCCCTGGGGCTGTCAGCTCCGGGGGGGCTCAAAGGCAGCTCCGTGTGCGGCCACTGGGCCGGGAGGGGAGCAGAAGCAAGCTGGAAGGAGGCCACGGCCTCTTGCAGCTGCCAGCGCCGGGGCACCCCCTGCCTGCGTCTGGGTCTCAGTCTCGAGCCGCCCCCGGTCCCAGGCTGCAGCCGCCAAGGCCCCTGCACGTTCCGCCGCTTCCGGGCGCCAGAGGGACCCCGCGGCCAGCACGCGGCTGTCCCAGCTCCGTGTGGGGCGGGGGCCGTGCGGGTTTCCCGCCCTCGGGCTCGAGCACCCGTCACGCAGGGCTCCCCACGCGGGGGCACGCCTTGAGCGCTTCGGGCCGCTTTACCCTGCGCTGTCCCGCGACTTCTGCCCCCGCCTGGCGCGCTGCCGGATCGGCAGAGGGAAGCCCGCCGGCCCCCGGGCCCAGGCCTCCCCCGCGCCTAACTGGACGCCGCTGTCCGCCGGGCCCTGGGGCGAGAACACGCTGCGTGGGCGGGCCAGGCGCCCTCCGCCGGGCCTCGCGTCCGGAGCCCACGAGCGGCTGCCGCTTCGGACCGGCGAGGGGTGCCCGGGCCTGGCGCCTCGCCACCGGGGCTCCCGGGGCGCTTAGCCCTCCGCGGCGGACGAGGGAGGCGGCGCGCTGCAAGGAATCCAGGCTCCGCGGGAGTGCGGCGGGCTGGGGCACAGGGGTCTCGGGGGAAGAGGGACCCGGGTCGGCTCTCCGCCGCTGTGAAGTGCTCTGTCTGTCCGCCAGGAGGCGCTGTGCGGGACTCCTGCTGACCCTGCCGGGCCACGAGAGGGCCACGCTGGGCCTTCCTCTACCTTCTAGGTCCATTACTGCAGGGCTCCAGGCCGTGGGCAACCGGGGGCTCATCCCAGGCGTGTTTAGGGTTCCCTCCGCTACCGACGGTCCAGAAGTGTCTGGGAGCCGCGTGAGTCCCTGCCCAAACCCATCGGCCTGGTGCAGAGGGCTGCGCGTGGGCAGAACCGCGTGTGTACAGGGTTCTGAGTGCCTGTCTGGGTCCCATCCCCCAGGCCCAGGAGCTGAGGCACGCGAAGAAGGCCTGTAATCCACCACCCACCCACCCCCGCCGCCCCTGGACCGGTGTGAGTTACCTAGGAACATGACCTAATGAACACTCGGGAAACAGGGCACATGTGGAACACTGCTGTGCCCATCATTCCCATGCAGCCAACTTAAATAACTTTAAAAGCTTAGATAACAGTAAAATGTATGCAATAACTAGGAAGTGATGTGTTTTGACTATTATCTTAGCATTTAATTTTTTAAGTGCACATTTATATACTTTAAACTTTGGGGGGATCTGTACCATGGAGGATGGAAGGTCTCTTACATCGTAGGCAAGGGCTCTACCATGAAGCTACACCCAGCTCTTTTTATTTTTATATTTTTGAGTCAGAGGCTCACTCCATTACCTAAGCAGATCTCGAGCTTTCAGTCCTCCCGCCTCAGCTTCCGAGTAGCAGGGATGTGCCACGGGGCTTAGCTGCAACTGATGGCTGTGTTTATTAATCAGCTTGCAAAATTCCTGAACCCCCAATGGTTCAAGGCACCCCTGGTGAAGAGCTGTGGGAGGGAAACCTTTTCATCTGTGGAAGGCAGGTGAGGGGAGCAGCCTGATAGTGGGAAAGCTGAAAATGGGAGAGCTGTGCAGTACTGTGAGGCTCCAGTGCCTACCCAGAGTGTTTGCTCAGTGGACAGCAGGAGCCCATGCAGGGGTGCATCCTGGCCTGGTCCTGCAGCATCTTTGAGGCTGCCCTCTTTCCAGGGACAAGGCTGTGAGCTGGTCTAGACTCACTGCTGTGAGCAGCATAGAGCCCCTATAGGTGCTTGTCTTAATTCCTTGTTGCTGGGACAAAAAAAATCCCAAGTTAAGGGGAGGGGGGAGATTTATGCAGCTCAGTTTGTAGAAGTTTCAGTCCATCATTGGCTGGCTCCAAGGTAGGGTGTCTTGGCAGAGAACAGTTCATGGCGCCCACAAGGCAGCAAAAGTGACAAGCGGGAGACAATGCTCCTTTTGTCCCTTATATTGTAGGCAGGCTCCCTGCCCTAGGGCGGGTGCAGCACTCACACCCTTAATCCCAGCCAGAACTATGCTAAACCAATCAGCAAACCAACTCACCAATCACACCCGCTTTGTCCCAGGAGCACACACTCCAAATCCAGCCACCTCTGAAAAATCCCAGTGACTGCATGAAGCTCTGGGGGGACTTCTGGACACAAACTGTAACAGCAGCAGTGGGTGCTCAGCAGGGGTGATCACCCCTGCTCTGTGCCTATCCAGTGAGAGGACCTGGTGTATCTTTTGCAATAGCTATCTCTGCATAGATGAACCAGAGAGACATGGGGTGCATGAGGAGAGGCCTGGTGTCTTTTTTTTTTTTTTTTAGTTACTTTTCTCTCATTGCTGAGACAAAATATCTGACATCCAAAATTAAGGAAGGAAAGATTTATTTAGCTCACAGTTTGTAGAGGTTTGAGTCTGTAATCAGGTGGTTCCGAGGCAGGGTGGCATGGCACAGGGGCAACAGTTCATGGCAACAAAGACAGCAAAGCCATGAGAGCAACAGGGGAAAAAGGGAGGAGTGTCGATGTCGCTCCCGGCCGGCAGGAAGGACACACGACAAAGTCTGGCAGTGGACAACCTTTTCTTTTATTTTCCTTCTCCGTACAGCCTGCCCTGGGATCGCTCCCAGCCGAAGCCTCCTTTGGTCCGCTCCCCGCGGCTCCTTCTGGGCTTCTACTTCCGGGCTTCTTCTTCCCCCCCAGGGGTGGCACCAGTATATATACGGATACAGTGTCCAATCATGTTAAAGTAAGCAAGGCAAGCTGATTGGCTAACATCATCAGTTGCCAGGCAGACTATATTGTTGAGCGGGTTGCTTACGCGGTAAGCAGGAAACTAACGTGCTCGATGGGAGGGGTAATCTACCTCAGGCTTTACTCTTTACTACAGGCCTCACGTCCGACAAGTGAGGCGACCGGGCTCGGGGCTGCGGCTCCCAACATCTCCCCCTTTTTTATTTTTTATGAATGTGCGCATCGTAGCCCTTCCTGGACTGGGTGCAGAGGCTTATGCCCTATGCGTAGGCCCACCGTAGGTCCTTGGCTTAGACCCTGGTCGGCCGTCCCATGGTCTGCCAAGGCCCTGAGGCCCTCGTCCTTTTTTTTAGGGCCAGGCACAAACTGGACGGAACCTGGATGCACACAAGCTTGCACTCATTTTCTCTCCGTAAAGAAATCCCCTCGGAGAGAAATTTAGACCTGGGCAGCATCTAACAGTCCAGCGGCTTACGTGCAGGATGGGGTAGGGCCTGGCTTAGGTTGAGTAGCACCGGGGGAGTACGCTCTTACCCGTCATTGACTCTCCTACCCAGCTATGTCATAATTTTTTAGAGGAGGAGTGTGGGAAGCTCACCACCCCTAGACTCGGTCGTAGGCTAGGCGAGCGAGCCATGCATATGCCTGAGGATCTTCTTGTCCATTTCGGGCTACCGCTATTTCTATTCATCTTGTTGGTTGGTCTGTGATGGATCTCCAGTAGGGCAGGTCTGATCTTCAGTCGAGGGCTTTGTCGCCCGTGTCAGTCTCTCCGGTACCCACAGTGGTTCTCGTCCCGATTCCTGTGGGAAAACACAAACCGCGCCTCGGTTCCAGCTGACCACTGGATCCGGGCCCATCCATTGTCCTGTCAGGACATCTTTCCACTTCACCCACCCTTTATGGTTGGGGGAAGGGTTGCAGTGCTCCACGGCTGGGGAGCAATTATCATTATTTAAAT